AAAAAAAAAAAAAAAAAAAAAGGAAAAAAAAAAAAAAACCGTCACTTTAACTTTGTAAATATTTATGTAAAACATTATTTACAAAACTTTGATATTATATATTATTTGATTGTATATGCACACGGTGTAAATACATTTGTACCTCTCTCTTGTACTCTAAATAAACCAGACTCGGGACGTTTATCGTGTAACGGGCGGCTGCGAGGGGGGAGTGGAGGGCGGAAAATCACAGAGCACCAACCGCAGAAATCAGGGCAGGGACTCTGCTCCCGGCTGCCCGAATCGTTGTCCCCTTTCCTTCACGTCGGTACGAAGTGCCTCAGTTTCCCTTGAGAGAGCGGTGGAGACGCTCCGCCCGCACTAAACGCGCCCTGCCCTCCTCCCCCCCCTCTCCCAATCTCCCTGCCAGGATCCAAAATGGCCGCCCCGCACCCAGCCGATATATCTCTCGCTGAGGCCCTCACTCAAGATGGCGGCACCCACGCCTCAAGTGCGCTTTTGCCCGTAGTCAAGATGGCGGCCGGAAGGCACGTGTCAATGGGGGGCGCCGGCGCCCTGCTGCCCGCACCCAAGATGGCGGCGGTGGCCATGCGGCTGCCGGTGATCCGCAAGGCGGTGGGGCCGAGCGGGCGGCGGAGCGGCGAGAAGCACCTGGTGGTGCCCGGAGACACCATCACTACGGACACGGGATACATGAGGTGGGGATGGCGGCAGCGGGGATGCGGTGAGGGGACGAGGCAGGCCGCTCTTGGGCTCTCCTTACACGTCCGTTCTGTCTGCAGGGGCCACGGCACCTACGTGGACGAGGAGAAGCTCGTCGCCTCGGTGGCCGGCGCTGTGGAGAGAGTGAACAAGTTGGTGTGCGTCACGCCGCTGAAGACCAGGTGAGCTGAGGGCTGGGCTGCCCGTGGGGGGTTGATGAAAGGGCCGTGTAATGTTGTGCTCTGTCCTACCGCCAGGTACAACGGCGAGGTCGGAGACATCGTGGTCGGGAGGATCACGGAGGTGAGGATCCGGGAGGGCCCGGGAGAACGTCATGAGGTCCAGCAAAGCCAAGAGCGAGATCTTGCAGCCCAGAGAGCAAACCGTGTCATGGGCTGCATCCAGTGCAGTGCGACCAGCGGGGCAGGGAGGTGGTCCTGCCCTCTGGTGAGACCTCACCTGGAGCACTGCGATCTGATGGGGCATCCTCAGTGCAGGAGAGACACGGATCTGTTGGAGGACGTCCAGAGGAGGGCTACAAAAACGATCCAAGGGATGGAACACCTCCCTGTGAGGACAGGCTGAGAGTTGGGGCTGTGCAGCACGGAGAAGAGACGGCTCTGGGGAGAGCTGAGAGAGGCCTGTCAGTATCTAAAGGGGCTGTAAGAAAGAAGGGGACGGATTTTTTTACTAGGGTCTGTTGTGATAGGTCAAGGAGAAATGGTTTCAATCTAAACAGGGGAAATTTACATTCAGTATAAGGTCTTTTACAGTAAGGGCAGTGAGGCACTGGCACAAGTTTCTCAGGGTGGTGGTGGTTGCCCCATACTTGCAGACACCCAGGGTCAGAGCTGGACAGGGCTCTGTGCACCTGAGGGACCTGCAGATGTCCCTGTTCATTGCAGGGAGTTGTGCCAGATGGCTTTTAGGGATCCCTTCCAACTGAAATGATGCTGTGATTCTCTGACAGCCCATGCTGCACTGGCTGGTAATTTCTTGTGGCTGTCATGATGCATTGCTGTAGAGCTGTGTGACTTCCCACGCTGCTGACGAGGTTTTGTTCATATTCTGAGTGTACATTAACATCATTTTTCTTCTCCAGGTTCAGCAGAAACGATGGAAAGTGGAAACCAATTCCAGGCTGGATTCAGTCCTGTTGTTGTCGTCTATGAATTTACCTGGTGGGGAACTGGTGAGTGCAGTTTGTGCAGAGAAGTTCCAAATTGCTGCCTTCTGTGGCAGGGCAGGATGCTTTGGATAATCCTTCCTTCATGTATCTGTTAATTAATGTTTTCTCATTCTACGTGACGTGTAACTTTTCTTGCATTGTCCTCTTCAGAGAAGGAGATCAGCGGAAGACGAGCTTGCAATGAGGGACTATCTGCAGGAAGGGGACCTCATCAGTGTATCCTTGCACTGCTTGTACTCGGACAGAAGAGTTGAGGGGCATGGGGGGACAGCCAGGCCTCAGCCAGGCAGGAAGAGCTCACTGCTTGGGCAGCTGGTGGCTGTTGGCATAGGGCAGCAGGAGGATGTCTGTTTCCTTAAGAGGCACTGACAGGCAGAGGTGCAGTCTGTATTTTCTGATGGGGCTGTATCGCTGCACACCAGGAGTCTGAAATATGGGAAGGTAAGTCGCTCAAAAACCTAATTTTTTGCCAGGTAGATTGCATGAGTGTCTAACCCTGGTGCTCAGAAGTCTGTTAGGAGGTCAGACCTTTGTTAAATACAGTGCAATCCTATCCATGTCAGTAGAATTTCTTTGAATTTATATCGAGGTGGCAGCAGGATAGGGCTTTGGGGGGAGATCTTTATGGAGAAAAAAAAAGCTCTGGAGTAGAGCATGGTGTTATAACCCACATCAGTAAGTTAGGAAGAATTTTAGCTCCTATGTGGGAGCTCAGAGCAGAGTTCCTCAATGCAGGCAGAATGCCCTCTGAGCTGCTGCTGTTCCTCTCCAAACTTATTGCGTGAATCTGTTTCTCCCACCAGTTGAGCTCTGAGGAGAAAAATCTTCTAGCTCGAACTTTATCACTCTTCTTCTGCAGGCCATTGTCCCCAGAGCTTGCTTCTCACTCCAGGGCTCTATTTTAGGCTTTATGCAGTTGGCATTTATCTCTGTTTTTGCGCATTGAAATAAGCCAAGGGGCCACTGGAGCGTAGGCTGCAGTTGGGATTACCAGACCGAGGGTATTAGCACTTAAAAGATGAAAGCAAAATGTGCTTTTTGCACAAAGGGTGAAGGACAGCGACTGGATTAAGGGGGAAAGTGTTCTGCTAAATTGGGCCCCTCAGTCCTCATTTTTCTGCAGGATGGTTGATGTCTAGTTACAATCAAGATATTATTAACATTTGTCCTAAGCACTGAGAGTATTCTTCATCTTCAAAGGACTGCACAGGCATTAGCTAATCCTCCCAGCACTCCCAGAGGCAAGCAGGTTTTATATTCACTGTTTCACAGGAAATGATGTTAAATTGACTGGTTCCTAGACCAGGAGTGGAGTGCATGTCGGTGACTGGTTATTACCTGTGGCAGCACACTGTCTCTCATGCTGAGCCTCACGGTCTCTTCTTCAGCTTGGCCAGGGTGTGCTTGTTCAGGTCTCACCCTCCCTTGTGAAACGCCAGAAGACTCACTTCCATGACTTGCCCTGTGGTGCATCCGTGATCCTCGGTAACAACGGTTTCATCTGGATCTACCCAACTCCAGAACAGAAAGATGAAGAAGCAGGGGGCTTTACAACCAACTTAGAGGTGAGGGGACAGGGAAGATGATGAGCTGTTTTCTACCAGTGACGTTTTGCTAGTTGTGATCCAACAGGCATGTGAATCACTTAAGATGTTCAAGAAGTGGTATTGGATTTGTGGCAAAATGTTTATTTTCCAGAAGGCTTGCATTATTTCCCTGTGTATTCATCTCTGTTCCTCTGTCCTTCCTCAGCCAGTTCCCCTGTCTGACCGGGAGGTGATCTCACGGCTCCGAAACTGCATTGTGGCTCTGGTTACTCAGAAGTTGATGCTCTTTGACACTAGCATCCTGTATTGCTATGAGGCATCCCTTCCTCATCAGGTACCGAAACCAGTGCTGTTTACTTTATTCCACAGCGTGGGAAGGGATTGGGAAGGCTGAATCTGCCGCTGTTGAAGTCAGTAATTTACATGGTGGGGCTTCCTTTTGCCCTTCCAAAAGATTTTGTAGTGACAACATGAACTTCTGCTCTCATGCATGACGTAAATTGCCTTGGACATGTGTGATACCCTG